TCATTCTAGGCTTCTTTGTCTTCTTTTTCTTACTCTTAGATGAGAGTTCTTTATATAAAGATAAGCTAAAGCTTTTTATATTATGTTTATTATTATTATCATAGAACTGAGAATTTTTATCATTGAAATTAGATATTGATTTTAATCTATGAGATAAAAGGTATTATTATTTCTGATGTAAAACATCAAAGAGTATAAAGTCAATACATAATATTATAAGAAATTGTTATAAGAAATAAACCCTTTAAGAAGTACTTAAAAGAAAGGAAAAACATATTGTAGAGATTTTGTTTTTCGTATTTTTGAGCTATTAAATTGATTTCTCTGAAAATCTAAAAAAAAAAATATTTATAAAAAAGCTTTCTTTTATTTATAAATTAGTAAAAAAAAATAAAGTTAATTTATCTTGACTACTATCTATGTCTGTTTAAAACGAGGATATATTAAAAGTGAGAAAAGTAGAGTTACTTATATTGCTTATAACTTTTATCATGAGAATATTAAGAATATTTAACAAGTATAATTGAAAGAGCGAAAGGTAGTATTTAAAAATTGATGATTTAGAAAAAGGGCCAGAAATGATTTTATTTATCACACTTTTCAAAAGTTTGTATTCAAGTAAATTTTGATCAGCATCATCAGAATTGCAATTTTTAAATTAACTAATAAAATTTCATAAAATAGTAAAATTAAAAATATCAGTTTATTAAGCTAACATAAAGCAACCCTTAAGATTTCAAGTCAAGTCTAGGTTAAACAATAATTGGATCAAGATGAATCTGAGTCAAATAATGATTAGGTTAAGTTAAATTTAGGTTCTGTAATTATTAATAGGTTTAAGTTCGAGTATTTCTTAAACCTGATCTAACTCAATCTGTATGAAGTACTAATTCTGTCAATATAGAATTAACAAATAAAAAACTTTTTATTTATTTATATTCAGAGATATAATATTAATATAATGATAAAGAAAAATAATTAAACAAAAATCTCTGGAGGATTTAGCCTTTTATGAAGGATAAAATTTTTAAATATTAATTAGTATAATTTATTTGAATAGTTTGTGCAATAACATTTTCTTTTTTTATGATTTCAGGTTGTCAAATAAAATATAATAGTTATCAAGAAATATTATTACATTTAAAATAAGAAAAAAGAAATGGTTTAATTTCATTTGTTAAATCTAAGATTTGTTATGAAAATATTTATAATAAATTGAAAATTACTTTTAAAATTTTACCACATCTCCACAATTAATAAATATTATTTAATTTTTCTATAATATTACATTTGGTAATAAAAAATTGTATGCTAATAATGAAATAAATATTTTTAATTAAATTAAATACAAGTTTTTTCTAATAAAATTTATTATTTATATTTTTAAAATGGTCTAATAATATATTGTTAAACTATTGTTCTTTTTTATTTTTTTATATTAATCCTAACTAAAAAAAATTTTTTAAGTGTTGAAATATTTGAATACAATACAATTACTTTTTAAAATAAAAGTTTGGATATTTTCATATATTTCATATCTTAAATAGTAAAAAGTGAAATATAACTATTATTGAACCTTTTGATTTCACAGTTAAGTTTAATTTGAAAAATATAAATAAAGTAGAAGGTTTTTAAAAAGAAGTTTGTTTGTCTTGCAATGCTTGCATTTCAATATTGCTCATATAAGATTTCATTTTTAGATAAATCTTTTTTCACAACAATTACTTTTGATTATAAAGAAAAATGTTTCCATCACAATATATAATTTATCATATTTTAAATTATACAATCATGCTTTTTTAATAGATAATGATATAAACTGAAAATTAACAAATGCTATTTACTGTTCTTTCTGAATTAAAACCTATTATTAATTTATTTTAACAACAGTATAAATTATATTGTGTAATATTTCTTGATAATAATTAATATTTGATATAAGTAGATCAAAATAATTAATTAAATTATGAAAATAAAAAAATTAATTTAGTATTATCTTTCTTACTTTTTTATAATGCTACCTAATTGTTTAAAAAGATCTTGTATTTCTATTAACTTTAAAATAAAAAAAGAAATCTGTGAATATATACAAGCTAATCTAAATACCAAATAGACTGTATTGCTTTATACTTTAATACAAAATATTCTAGATATAATATTGATAGATCAACTATTGCTAAAATATGATAAAATCTAAATCAATTCTTTAAATACTCAAATTTCTCATACCTTTCACTAACGTACTATTTTATTTCTAGTATTAGATAAAGTTATGCAGCTTTAGATTAGTCAAGCTATAGCAATTAGTATTCCTTTAAGTGATATGATTTTATAAAAAAAGGGTTTTGAATTTGTAGAATCATTGAGAATTAAAGATAAAATTAAATGTGATAATGGTTAGGTAAAAAAAGAAATAGATTTTATAAAATTAACTTTTCAAATAAAGCTAATAGTACTCTATTAGTAATATTACCAGAAGAACATTCAAAATTACAAGAGCTTTTGGCTAACTATAATAGAGAAAATATTTATAATGCTGATTAAATAAGCTTATTCTTTTGAATAGAACTAAATGTAACTCTTAGTATAGGTAGAATATCTGAACAAAAAAAGGTAAACTATTAATTTTATATTTATTAAACTTTTAAATAAATATACTAATATATATCAAATTAGTTAATTAGAATAAAAATCGCCTATCAATTCTTTTTTGTACTAATGCTACTGATTCTCATAAATTTTCTTCACTTGTAATTGAAAAATCACTCAATTCCTGTTGCTTTAAAAATATTAACAAATCAGCACTTTCTGTAATTTATTATGCTAATTTAAAAGTATGAATGAGATAAGATATTTTTATTGAATAGTTCAATTATCTTATAACTGGTTTTATACAATATATCAAAAGATTGATCTTATTATTGATAATGAAGGATCTTACTTTAATCTAAAAACATTTGAAAAAATTATTAGCAAAGAAATTTTGAGTGACTTGAGTGAAAATAATCATTATAGTAGTAAAAAAAATATTGTTGAATCATTCACATTAGCTCAAAATAAAAAAAAATAAACTTAAAAAAATAATAAAAAAACTTGATATTAAGCTTATTAATATTAAACTTATTTATTTTCCTCCAAACACTACAGCATATCTTTAGCCTATAGATATAAGAATTATTCAAAACTTTAAAACTAAATATAAACAGAAATTTTGTAGATATATAATTCATCAATTTGATAGAGAAATAAATCGAGAAAAGTAAGTTAAATTATATTTATTTTTAGATTTTATATGATATATTAATAAGTTTATTTTAGAAATAAGCTAAATATTAAAGAAGTTATTGATTACATTGTTGAATCATAAAATAATATTATAGAAATAACTATTCAAAATTATTGGGAAAAAATTAGGACTCTTCTATTCATAAATAAAAATATAAATGAAGATAATATAAATAATGCAAATATAGATCAAGAATTAGAATTTAAAGAAGAAGAAATTGAATACATTCACCAAAAATTTACTAGAAGCTGTCAAATTACATAATTATTTATAATAACTTGATTCTTCAATTTTAACAGAAGAAATTTTAACTAATACACAAATTATAAATTTAGTGCAACTTAAGAAAAATAATAATAATAAAGGTGATTGTGATACTTCAGATGAAGAAATACCTTTAGTATTAATAAAACAAGCAATCAGTAGTTTGCAAACTTTTATTAAATATTTGAACAATAAGATGATTCAACTTATTTCAATATTGATAATTTGTAAAACTTTTGAAAATATCTTTATAAAATGAAAATTATAGAAATTAATTCTAAAAAAACAGGATACATTAAATAATTTTTTGAATATGTAATTAAATTTTAATAAGATTAATTATTTTAAATAAATATCTTTTATATGTATTTTAAATAAATTCCTTTTATATAATTTTTATTTATTTGAACTTTATATAAATTTTATAAATTAAATATATATAATCACATTTTTTATATTTTTAATATACCTGTGACTATACATAGAAAAACTTCGTTATAAGAACACTTCCCTATAATTATAGCATTTGATAGATCTAAAATATGTGATTATAGGAGAGGTTAACTGTATTACAAAAAAAAACTTTTATTATTGTAAAAATTATTACATTAAATGAAAATTATTATATAGTATTAAAATTATGAAAATTACATTATGATAAAACTATTATATTAAAATGTTACTTTAATTTAAATTATTTAAATTTCTAAGTTCTATTTCTTTCAATTTTATTACATATTCCACCTTTATCTTTTCTTTCTCAAACTCTCACTTTTATTTTTTTACTTCTAACTTATTCATTTCAATAGCATAATTTTTTTCAATTTTTTCTTTTTCTAACTCAAGTTTTTTTTCTCATACTTTTTTTCTAGTTTTACTTATTGCAGTAATTGCCATTGCTATGGAGTCTACATGATTTTTTTTGATTTTTTAGTAGTTTAGATTCAATACTTAATGTTAAAGAATCTTTACTATTGATATCATTAAATCTATTAGTTATAAAAGAAGATACTATATTTTCATGATTACCAAAAATAGCATGGATTTTATCAAACCATTCCCAGTCTTTTCTTTCTAAACCAGTTTTTTTCATTATGACTTTTAACCTTACCATAGTATTTAAGTATTCTTGCCAACTTACTTTGCATTTGACTCCTTGCTTTTTGATATTTTGGCAGATATTTCATTGTATAATTTAGTTTTATTACCTTTTGCATATTTATCAAAATTATCTGCAATGTATTGAAGTAAGGTATCAATTTCGTGAACCTGCCAATTGATATTAGACTCTCCATTATTACTAGATTTACAATTCTTTTTTTTGGTAGAATCTTGAAATTAATAAACAAAAATAAATCCATTATAATTTACAATTAAATAAAACTAATCCAGTAAGAGAACTTTTATTCACTAATAATACCTTTTCACCATTAAACCTTTCTTTTTCTTGTTAATGGTTAACTTCTGTATCAGGAGTTTGTTTAAAATTAGCACCATTCTCCTCTTGATATATTTTGTATCTTTGTAATGCTCCAGATCCTCTTTCAACTCCAAAATAATTAGCTGCAGGAAAGTTTTGACTAAAACCACTTTCATTTTGTTGTAAATAATAATTAAGCGCAAATAAATTTTGCTTTAGTGGTAAAGGGTATTGATATTTTACATTATGCTGTTCAAAAATCTTAGAATATTCAGGCGAAAGATAGAAATTTCTACCAGTTCTAACAAGTCTAGGTAATGTGTTATTCTTATGGGATAAATTTATTTGGGGGTTCTTTGAAGAATCTTTCAAAAATTCCATTAGTAAAGAAAAGACACGTTAACAAACGTGTTTTACGTAGACCTTCAAATACTTAATTTATCAGCTCGATCAAAACGATCTACGTTTTTTGGTGGTTCAGTTTCAAGTTGAATTTTATTGGCTACAATTTTAGTGTAATACAATCAAAAAAGCTGATCGTTTTACCACATCATGTAACATGAAATGTAGAATTAAATGCATTGTTTCCAGAAATTAGCCTAAATGGATCTTAGTAATTTTTAAAGGCTATAGCGATTGTTTTGATGCAGTTTGCTGCGTCACATCTGACGCTTACAAATTATATAGATTTTGAGATGTTTGTAAGAATAAAAGTTTTTATCGTGAAAATGTTATGAAAGTTTATGCATATCACAAAATTGGTAAAGCGAAAGTTTTAACTTATTTTACAATTTATCTAACTTATCATAATTAATATTTTACTTTAAGCATAAATATTGAACCTACGGTACTCTTATAATAGCTACTTATAGAAGCTATTTATTGTTACAAAACTCTATATCAAACCTTCAGTATCATTTCAAATACTGATACAATATTTACAGGAAGTTTTTATTTCTGAAATGACATTAAAGAGGATAACGACTGTAATCACTATATGTTTTTGATAACGAATTTTAACTAGGATTGATAATCCATCGGATAGTTCAACTCAAATAATTAATTTGAAATCCGATTTACACTCACAAAAGTTTAATCTTTCATTTTCATTTATTTGTATATATATAGATTTATAAAAATACCCAAATTTTAAAATTGTTATTTTAGAATTTCATTTTTCATTTTTCATTTAAAATGATAAGTTTTAAAAACTTTTGAATTGTTATATTCAAAAAAATTAATACACTCGTTATAAAATAATTAAAAGAAATGCTATTTGATTTAATAAGTTTCCACTTTCTGAAATACACAAAAATGGTTCAAAATCTTTTACATAAGAAATATATAACTGGTATTAATTGCACAAATAAATCATTTATGGCTTCATAATTAAATTCGAGGTTTAAAGTATTTTTTTTACATTTATAATTAAATATATTGAGATCGAAAACAAAGTGATTAACTCTGCAATACCTAATTTGACTTTCAACTTTTACAAGCATAATTAAGTTTGATTATTTTCAAATCTGGGGAACCTGATTTTCCCCATATTGTAAAAATAAATAGTTTTTTTTTTTTTTTTTCTTTTCTTTCCCTTTCTTCTTTTATTACAAGCGGTCTATTTCTAGCAATGCATAATTATAATGAGTTTATTTAAAAAAATTTTTTTTTTTTTACATGAAATGACTGGATTTGGTTAACAACCCAACCTTAATTTTATATTGTATGTATATTTTGTTATTTATATTGTATATTGTAAAAATTATGACAATGACAAGAATCAGATAGGGCAAGGATCATCATATGCATAAACAGCTTCATTTATTACATTTCATTTTATTTTTTTTTTTAAAAAAAAAAGATATAAAACTTCACACTAACTACTCGTTGCGCAATAAATTAACCTTGCTATTTCTTGATTGTATACATACGCGTATATTTTACAGATCCAAATACTTTAAAAAGTCTGATTATAGCATTTTAATTGATGTCTACTTCACACCATCCTCAAGTCGGTAATGAAAACACTGTAACTTCTAGTGAGACTATTTCTAATACGCTCTCTACGCCTCCAAATAATAATAATATTAACGATCAATCTTTACAACCTACTCAAAATACTACACAAGAACCTGAATGGTCATTTTATTACAGGCTAAGCAACGATGTTCAAATTTATCTCGTTACTTATAAAAAGTTAACCTTTAATGAACTCATATCTCAATTATTGATTAATAACTTATACCTATCTAGTAACCATCTTTGCTCAAAAAATCTATTTGAATTTTATTTTCAACATCCTAACGATAAAAGAATTTATAAAGTTGCTTGTGAAATGATTTCACATTCAAATATTGTTCAATATTTAAACTTAAATATTTATGGTTTAAGACTAAGCGAACTGCAGCAACAATCACCCTTTGATTTTTCTAACAGACACAAAGAAAATCTTGAGTTCCATTTGAGACAATTCCTTACCGATAATTTGGTCTCCAACAGTATTGGTAGTTCTTATTCGAATTTGATTAATACTTTTCAACCAAATACAATAGTTCAAAATGGGATGTTCAACCTCAACAAGGAGGAAGTTCATTTAATTCCGGCCAGAATTAAGGTCTAAAAGATATAGATATTCTCTTTCACCTCTCTCATGAATTTTCTTGAATTTTTATTTTGATGTTTCGGGTGTGTTTATACTTTAATTTCATTCCTAAATATTAATGGGCATTTGTCGTATCAATTTTTTTTGATTTATTTATAGAATTTCTTTTTTGCATATCACAAACTACTATTTTTCATTAATAAATTTATCTTTTTTAAAGATATTATATATATAACTTAAGGGTTGTAAGCATGCATAAAGTATCTTTACTTGAGTTTGCATTTACATTTCAAAACAATTTCAGGATGTAATGGTAGATCATATCATGTATTATATAACAAACATTATTATGTTGCGTTGACAATTTGAAGTACATTAAAAAAATATTTCGTGATCTAATATCAAGAAAAATAAAAATTTTAAATGCATTAAAGTTATTTAAGATTAACTAAATAGAAAATTATAATTTAAAAGATCAGTTCCCTATTTTAATCATGTGATATATATTTTTCCCAAAAATCTTACGTCCACAAATTTTAAAATTGGCTTGATGAAATAGATCATCGATGAATGTCAAGTTGACACCTAGTTCAGGTAAAAAAAAAATTTTGAACTACCACATTATCATTATTTATTGGATTTGACGAAATATATTATTTGCTTAATTTGATGAAAGTCTTGATTCACATATTTAGATGCAAATTGCTAATCAAAATACTGGCTATAACAAAAGTGTCAAAAATACTGACCGTGTTAATAGCGTCATTTTGACTTTTTTTAAGAAATGCTTTCTGCAGAATTTTTTTTGATATTACTAATGGTGTTTTATAAAAAGAAAGTGATTTTTTAAATTTATAGATCGTCGAATTTTTAAAAAATTATTTATTTTATTACGGAGCGAAGATTTTTTTTAAAGAATTTATTTTTTAAAAATTATTTTGTTTTAAGTGATGGTGTTTTTTTATAAAAAAAATTATACTTTAAAATTTATTTCAGTAGTGACAATAATTTATTTTTAAATTAAAAAAATAAAAATATTTTTTAAAATTTATTTATTTTTTTAAAAGAATTATTTTTAAATTATTTTAGTAGAAAAAAATATATTTAATTTATTACCGGAGGTATAAAATTATTTTTTTAAAAAATGATTTTAACTAGAGTTCTGATTAGATCAGAAAATCTGATCTGAATTAAAGTTTCATTTGACCTGATCTAATCTGGTAATATATTATATCTAATCTGATTTAAAACTCTAATTTTTATTTATTTTTATTTTACTCTTTTTTTTGATTTTTTTATACTTTTTAATAAATATCATATAAATAAAAAAATACAATATATGTAATTTGATTGGTTAACGTGTTAGATCAGGTTTACTTAACCTAATCTGATCTGATCTAAAAAATAATTTTTTTTGATTTATTAGTTAAATAATATTAAATAAAGATCAGGTTAATAGAATTGATCTAATTGAATATTCAAAAATGATAATAACTAGAATAATGATAAATCATTCTAATTGATTGATACAATATTATTCAAAATGAATAATAAAATATCATTTAAAATGAATTATAAGACTTATACTAATTGAATACATGATATCATTTAAAATGAAATTTTCTTTATATCAAAAGCAGAATTAATTGCATAAAAATGTATAGTGTTAGTAAAATAATTGTCTAATGATAATAAAATCACATGAATCATATAGAGGATCTATATAACTCTATTGATCTTTTAAATACTAATAATAACTCTAATTTCACAAATAGACAAAGTTTAAGAATACTTGATTTAATACTTATTTTTAATTTTCTATCTTTTGTTATTTTTGTTATTTTTATTATATATTATTATTTTTTTTAGTTACTTATATTTTATCTATTAAACTAGAAAATGCAAACTATTGTAATATTTAAAGTATTAATTTTAAAGCTCTGAACAGATCAGGTTAGATCAATAAATTTACCTAAACTGAGAGGATCAGGTCAGATTAAACAAAATCTGACTTGATTTAAATTTTATTTGACCTAACCTGATCTGACTTGACATGATCAAATTATTATAAAACATTATTTTTAAATGATAAAATCATCATTCTTGAACGATAAAATATCATTTTTGAATGATAAATCACCATACTTGAATGAAAAAATTATTATTCTTAAATGATAAAACTATCATTTTCGAATGATAAAATTATCATTCTTGAATGATAAAACTATTATTCTTGAATGATAAAATCATCGTTTATGAATGATAAAATTATTATTTTTAAATGATAAAACTATTGTTCTCAGACGATAATAATCATTCTAATTAAATGATAAAACTATCATTTTCAGACAATAAAAATATCATTCTAAGATGATAAAGCATCATTCTTAGATGATAAAAATATCATTCTCAAATGATAAAACTATCATCTAAGAATAATAACAAAATATTCTAATTGAATGATAAAATATCATTCAAGAACAATGATTGGTTGATCTAAAAATCTACTGATCTGATCTGGATTTTCATATCAGGTCAGGTCAGATAAACAGGTTGACTTAACCTAATTTAGAGTTTTAGTTAATTTATAATATTTAAATATATCACAGAAAACAACTCTTAAATTTCTATTATTTAATTTAAAGGCAATTACACCTAGAAATCAAATTATATGACAATATAACAATATATTTTTATTGGTTAATTACACTTGTGAATAAACGGACATTACATCAAATCATCTAATTAAAGATATCCTTAATTACACCTTAAGCAAATT